AGTAGCAAATAATTTCTGCAATCTTGCCAAGAAAACTGCAAGGACTAGTGCAGAAGTCAAAACTGACTCAAATGGACCAAAAAAAAAAAAAAAAAGCACTATAGACTTGTGGAGCAGAAGAAATTTTATATAAAGGTCTTTGGATGGTAAATTATCTAACCTTGCCAGGAAAATTGTAGGGACTTGTCCAGGCAATCATCAGGAGTAACACTGACTCGAAGGCACCAAAAAAAAGGAAAAAAAAGAAAAAAAAGAAAGCCTTTAGAACAGTGTTTCTCAACCTTGGTAACTTTAAGATGTGTGGACCTCAACTTCCAGAATTCTGGGAGTTGAAGTCCGCACATCTTAAAATTTGCCAAGGTCTCAAACATGGCTTTAGAAACTGGATTAGCTACATCAAGTTGCAGGACGCTAAAATTTGCATGCTAGAATTAACAATCATTAACCAGATCAAAGAGATAGAGGGACAGAGAATAGGGGCATATGTAAGGATATACTTGAGAAAAGCAGCAATGATAAGAAATAATAGATGCTTACGTGACTATCATCTACTTTCCTTGCAATTTTGCCTTATTGGTCCCTGTTCTCCCAGGGTTTTGGTGCAGAGGACCTGAATCTGTGGCCCAGATGGGAAAATTTGTACCTTAATGTCCTTACTTCTCTGAGGATTCCCAGCCACAGGAACTTCTAACTTCCTCTGACTTTGAAGCCAATCTCCTTGCTTCTCTTTAGAAAAGGACAGTTGCTGTGTTTATAGGAAACGTTAAAGTCATCAACTAGCCAGTAGCCTACCCTGCTTAAGAAACACCACTTAGCTTACAGGCCTCTAGATCTACTGCAGCTACTTATCAAATAATAACAAACAGATAGCACTTTAGGACAGCCAGTTTGATGTAGTGGTTAAGACGCCGGGCTAAAAACTGAGAGACTGTGAGTTCTAATCCCACCTTACGCACGAAGCCAGCCACGTGGGTGACCTGGTGCCAGTCCCCCTCTCTCAGCCCTAGGAAGCAGGCAAGGAACAACCACTTCTGAAATCTTGCCAAGAGAACTGCAGGGACTTGTCCAGGCTGTCGCCAGAGTCATCACTGACTCAAAGGCACAATAACAACAAAAAGAGGCACTATACACTTGTGGAGCAGAAGAAATTTGCATAAGGGTCTTTGGATGGTAAATTATCAGAAGAAGGTTTGAGCCCTGCAGTGGATTCCTCCCAGAAAATGCTAATAATATGGCATCCAAAATGTCTGCGTGAAGGAAAAAAAGGAGAACAGTTTATACATGGAAGAACAGAAATTAGGGCAGCAAGTTTGCAGGAGGGACTTCAGTGAACTGATTTGTGTAAGCTGAAAGAAAATTCTGCCACATATAACAGGAGAGTGCTACTCTGTTCCTATCTTAAGAGGACAAAGAGTTACTACCATAGGATGAACCATACTTTTGGTGGCAGTGCGGTGGGCCAGCAGTTGTTTTTGGTTGAAAGGCAGGTGGCTTGTCACATTTGTCAAGGAAACCTGATAGAGTTATAGGAAGAGACAATTTTTCTCCAGAGGTTTAATATTCTGATCCATCCCAGTTTCCCTACCAAGAAGAGGGACAGCCCAACTAAGTCAGAGAACAGTGGATCAGGGTTCAAGTCAGCATCCAGCATATGGGCAAGATGAAAGTCAGACTGCAAGGATGAGAGTTCAGGAGCTCAGGCAGCAACCTGCCATGGAGATTGCATGTTCAACTCAACCTGCATCTTAACTCTCCTGTTGGTATCGGCCATCTGCATAATATGCATAATAATATGCATTGACGTCTGCATAAATTGGAGTGTTTATGAATTTGTTTGGAATCCTCAGACAGATATGACTTTCCCAAGTCTTGAGTGTATCTCCATAGACCCATCAAATTCTGTTATGAAATGTTCATATTTAATGTGACAGAAGGGAAAAATTATCCAACCCATGACTGAAGAGTCCTTATTTTAACTACAGTATATTTAATTTTTATTAAATATAAATGACATTAATTTAGTTTCT